CCTCCGGGACTCGGGGAGCGGCGGAGCCCGTGAGGGCGCGGGCGCGGAGAATGGACGGGGACAGATAAGTGCGGCCAGGCGAGCCGGGCAGGGGATGTGCGGGGCAAGGGATGACCGAGGACAAGTGGCAGGTGTGTGGGGACAGGCGAGAGGGGCACAGGACAGGTGAGCGGCACAGGGGAGCCGGGGGGAGCTCCTGACGCCCCAGCAGACAGGGAGCGGCAGGAACCGGGCAGAGTTTGGCGTTCTCCTGGCAAAGCTGCTCTCCCTCAAGATGTCGGTGCCCCCACCCTGAGGGTGAGGCGGAGTTGGGTGAAGTCAGGTGGGGTGGGATGGGATGGCTTAGGGTAGGGAAAAGGTGGGGTAGGGACATCCAGGATGAGTTGGAATGGGAGTGGAGAGGGGTGGGATGGGGGGAGTAAAGTAAGGTAGGGAAGAGGTGGTGTGGGATGGAATGGTATGGAGTTGAAAGGAATGAAATGGAATGGAAGTGAGGAGAGATGGGGTAGGAGAGAGGTGGGATGGGATAGAATAGGAGTGAGAAGGGGTGATGGGATAAGGTAGGGGAGAGGTGGGTGGGATGGGCATCCTCACAGTGCCGGGGCACCTCGCCATGGTTTTAGTGACAACAACACCACCTCCTGTGGTGATGTTGCAGGGGTCCTACTTACTCTCCCAAAACTATGTTCCCCTCTGACCACCAGCACCCAGACTGTCCTTTGGAGTGAGCTGCATCTGGGGCAGAGCCAGATCTTCAGGCCAACAGGTGAATCAGGGCTATCTCCCCACTACAGATTATGCCAGACCAAAAGAAGCATTTGTAGGGCTCTAAAGGAAAGTCTCGTTTACAATGGAAAAAAGGCTGATGCTGGTCATGATTTTAAAAAGAAGAGAAAGCCCCCAGATGCCCCCAAGGCATGGTTTATTAAAAGAAGGGCTATTTTCTCTCTTCCAGCTGCACATCCAAGGCTAACACTGATTTTCTGTGGTCTCTTCGCTTTGGAATGTAATACAAAGGGATTTAATCAATAGGGTGCTACAGAAACATAAATAGGTTTTTGTAAAGATGGCTTTGAAAATCTATAGAGTGTAATGAAGAACTAGAAGACTCCCATATAATTATTAAATACCCTATAAAAATCTATGTAAGGAATAATTCTCCATTAGTTTAAAATATATAAAAATATGTGTGCCATTTATAGCAGCACTTTCCAATAATAGCAGAAAATAAATAGTGTGAAGAATGAAATCAATAGTGTATCCCACCTCATCTCTGCAGACAGCAAGGAGCACTAGAAATTGCTGGACTTGCAACAGAAGAGTTTCTTCCTGGTCCCTTAACTCAGGACTGACTTATGCATTTATGCATATCTGGTTTAGATCCCTTTCAGGGTTTCTGCTTCAGTTCTACTTTTATTTTAAAATGTATCATATGTAACTTATAATAGTAATTATTTTCATTGATTTGTCCTTGTGCTTAAAATATCGATCTCTGACCATGATCTCACTGCTCCAGGCATTATGCAGAAGAGTAAGCAAGCTATGGAACCACAGATGTCACTATATAAACTAATCAGGTTTTAAATCAAATTATCTGCTTGTTGGTTTGTGTTTTGGGAATTAAACCTGGTATGATATTTTCCTTTGTTTCCATTTATGTGTGTTCCCTTTGCATGATGTGTTATTTTAATATTCTGAGTAGGAAGAGCATCCACTGGGCTTTTTCTGTCCTGCATTTTATGTTATACAATTTCCTTGTGTCTTCTTATCTCCATCCTCTTAACTATATCTTGTGTCTCAATTTTTATTAATTTTCATATTGGGAAGAATGTTTTCATTGTGATGAAGCTGCCCTAGCATATATTTTCCTTGTAGTAAAATAGGAATCTCTGCAGTTTTGAAAGCAAGATAACCAACCCATGCTCAGGAAAAATCAGGAAAGACAAGGTCAGCACTGGGTTTATATGCATCCAGGCACTATTGCTAAGATGAAGGGGAAAAAACCCTAAATTCCACTGCTTGCAGTGAAATGTCCTTCAAAGCAGATAATGGCAGCAATTGCAGGATGTTAATATCCTGTGTTATAAGCATTAAAGATTTATATTAGGAAAGGTCAAAAAATAATATATTGTTTAGACATGGAAAAATGGTGTTGCAAAAATAATAGGATAAGAGCAATTGAGAGAAGGTTCTTTGTGGAGTCCTACCCTTCACCCCAGAGTTCAGACCATGCACCCTGTGCCTCTTAAAGGCTGTGGCCATCTTCCCACAGCCCAAGCAGTTGCAGAGTACCAAAACCTGGAGGAAGCTGTAATTCTGGAAAGAATACCAAAGGAGGTGATAAAACAGCTGCTACTTGCAGGATCCACAAGCATTGCTGTGAGTTCATCCCACAGAACTGAGTGGGAGTTTGCTACTGATATCCCAGAGCACAGGCTTAGCCCGTCTCCTCCAAATCCTGAGCTGCTCATTATCTTCAGTCTGCACCTGCTTCCCATCTCCAGATTTAATCTGTAAGCAAAAGTGGCCTCTCAAGTGTGCTGAAGCAGCCACTGAGAATTTCAACACAACTGAAGCACTGTAACCACAAGATTTTGCTCCCTGCCAATGTTACCTTGATTTCTGATCATCAAAATACAAACCCTGGCCAAGTCCTGCAATCTTTGCAGATGTTCTGGTGATAATTTCCCCTTTTTTAGAAGAAACAAATAAGTAATGCCTGAAAATCTGTAGATGCTGAAGAACCAATGCTTTATCTTTTACATTTCTGCTCACTGGGATAACCCCAAATTCTTTAGCGAGATCTGGATTATGATTTCTTGCAAATGGCTGAGTTTGGAGATTAGAATGGATAAAGCAAGTAAAATTAATGCTGACTCTGTCAGCATTATATTCTTGATTATTTCTGTTACTTTTTTAGAACATAAAAAACACGGTTGGATCTATTTAGCTTTGTCTTTTGTCTCCAGCAGCCAAGAGTGGATGCTTAATAAATCAGTGTAAAAATAGGCTCTATGTTCTCCTATTGACCTTATAAGAGTAGGTAGTTTACCTTATTTACCTTCCAGCAACTAGGGAGGTAGGGATTTCTGGAACTCATGGTTTAATTGAAGTTACAACACTTAGTAGCTACCAGTGGTCCTGTTCTCTAGGAGTTTTTAACTCTTTTTGAACCCATTTGTGATTCAAAATGAACCAATTTCCACAATGTGCTGTGACAGGATAGTTCTTCACTGTGTAAAACCACTAAGTCTTATCCCTGTTTAATTGTTCCTTTGTTACAGAGGCAGTAAATTTACTGTTTGTACCTTCTCACCATCATTATAAGGTGGATTGACTTAAGATGAAGGAAGAGGACATATTTAGATTAGATACTAGGAAGAAAGTCTTCTGTTGAAGCCTTGGCACGGGTTGCCCAGAGAAGCTTCTCCATCCCTGGAAGTGTTCAAGGCCAGACTGGAGCAACCTGGTCTAGTGGAAGGTATCCCTGCCCAAGGCAGGAGTTGGAACAAGATAATCTTTTAGGTTCCTTCCAAACTCTTCTGTCATTACTTCCTAGCCTTTAATTGGATTTCCCTCCAGCTATCCCTTTTTAAATTTCATGTGGTTTTCTCTTGTTTTCACTGGGAGACTTTATCACCATCCTCTCTAGCCTATCTAATTTTACAAGAAAACACTACTTTGAAACTTTGATTCTGCTAAAATGACTGTTGAATTTTGCTGGGTCTGGAATAGACAAGAGCTGTCTGGCCAAGGGACTTGGAATAACTCTGAGCATCTGGGCTAAAGAGTCCTATGACTTTGGGGGTCTCCTCATCATCTAAGGGGAAGCTACTGACTCTTAACATTCACTTCCCCTTTTTGACCGCTTCCTAGCCTCACACTGACATTTCCAGAGGGCTTTCCACTTCTGTCTCCAGATCTCCTGCAGTGCTCTAACCAGTGTCGGTGTGTGTGTGGTTGGGGTTATTTTTTCCCCTGTGCTTTGCACTTATCACTGCTGAACTTCATCTGCTGGTTTATCACCCAGTCACTCAGGGCAGTGAGACAACATTGCCTCAACACCTCTCCAGTGTCTGTGTGTGCTCAGCACTGCAGAGCAGCTTAGCTGCAACATACTATAGAGAAAAGCAAAAATGTGCAAAGCAAACACTGGCTCTTCTTCCTTTGTATCTACAGAACATTTCACATCATTCTGGGTACAGGAATAATAATTGCACAAATGAAAAATTCCTGCTGGAAAGGAGACTATCCTCTACCTGCTGTAACATTTCAGTGCCTGTAGTGCCCTTGTACACATTACTCCATGAGCAGGTTGATCATGGAGCAGAGCTGTTTCCTTTGAGGAACTGGATATGCAGGGAAGCACATGCTGCAGTTGGGATGTCTGTTCTCTCCAAATCTGCTATGTGGGGGTCAGGCAAGTGTGGAGTCCTAGAGAGGGTTTCCAGCAGCTAAAGGGGCTACAAGAGAACTGGAGAGAGACTTTTATTAGCGGCATAGAGTGGTAGAACAAAGAAAAATACCTTAAGCTGATGGAAGGCTGGGTTAAATTAAGTATTTGGAATAAATTCTTCCCTATGAGGGTGGTGAGGCCCTGGCACAGGTTGCCCAGAGAAGCTGTGCATGCCTCATCCCTGGAAGTGTTCAAGTTTGGGTTGGATGGGGCCTGGAACAATGATGTCTAGTGCAAGGTGTCCCTGCCCATGACAGGGAATGGAATGGGCTGGGATGATCCTTAAGGTCCCTTCCAACATAAACCAGTCTGTGATTCCATAAGAACCTGTGGCACTGCTCTGGAACCCCTGAATTCCCACCTTTGCAGTGGGACACGCCCTGCATTTGGCTCTGTTGCTCCCTAAATCCCCTCTCTGGCATATCCCTGTTGTTTCTGAGCATCTTCAGGAGCAGACAGAGGTCAGACAAGGAGCTTGTGTCTTTTAAGGCAACCAGAACAGGAACGAATAATCTTTCCATTTAACATCTACTTCAGAGAGTGAGAGCTGTTGGAAAAAAAAATAAAGGGCTTTTTGATTTCACATTGCAACAATTCCCTATCTAACATAAAGTCCCACAAAACAGAACTTTACTATCTTATAGCTAACCCTCTGCTTTAAAGACAACAAAAATGGCACGTCCCCATTTCTGTTGAAGGAATATTTTTAAACAAGAGATATTTTTTCAGCCTAGATGCATGATAGATCAAGAGGAAAAACAGGTTTCATTTACTTTTAAAACAACCTCCATTTCAATAAAGAAAAACAAACCTTTTGTACTGTAACAAACAACATCCTTACAGTACAAGTGCAGCTCTCAGATCTGAAATATTATGGCCAGATGCAAATAGTCACATTTGAATTATGCTGAAATAGAAGGTTTTCATTTTGTTCTTTGTTTCTTTAAAATTTCTTTTAAAACTCCTTATGTCCTTTTCCAAGTGCTCTCAGCAGAGTCCTGGACTGTCTAGTTCATAATTGGTTCATTAAGGTCAAGGCCTGTACAAGCTACTGTGAAAATTCAAAAGCAATCTTCGAGTTGTATCCACAATTCAAGAGCATGACGGATGATGTCAGCCCAAATTCCTCAAGAATAAACTGTGGTTTGCTGCCATGTGTTAACAAGTAGAAACACTTGGTTTCTAGGATTTACCCAGTCAAACTACAAGAAGCTGAAACATCTGGCTTGTCAAAATGGTCACAAGGTTATAGAGGCAACGACAAAGATGTCAGAAAATTCAATCCAGGAAATGAGCACAGTTCAACCACAACATAAATTTAGTCTCTAAACACATTGTCTTACCTTTCTGATGCACTGATTTCTATATTTTTTAGATTTTAATTCCCCATGAATGAAACTCTATGTATTTTCAGGAAATGCTAAACATCATTATGGTTTTTAGTAAGTAATTCTTACCAACTCTCCTGCTATTTCTTACATTTGTGATGAGAATTATTAGAAGTGACTTGCCCATTATGACCCAAATGGAAATAAAAAAATGCAATGAGCCATAGCTATGTGACCTCAAGCCAAACACTTCAAACTCATGTACCTAAATATAGACACCTAAATAAATGGCCTGGTTTTCAGGAGCACTGTGTGACTCAGAGTTGTAGGTGCTCTTAAAAATCAAGATGCTTATTTAGGTATCTGAATACAGACTGAGCTTATGAATATATTATTTAATTTGCTTAAGAATGTAAACAACTAAGAAAATAAAAAAGCTACTAGAAATTCTATTTTTATATGTGCTAATTAGACGGCCACAGACTGTAATTCACAGACTGCAAGACACAATTTACTCCTCTAAAGCAAATATTGTGGTAATTAATTTTTATTAATTGTTGAGAAGCAGAATTTAGGAGCCCTGGTTCTGAAGCAGTGCTAGATAGGTTTGATGGAGAAGTCCACTGTATGAGATTTCTTTGCCTTTTATTAATCTTTATCCTTAATTATGGAGATTGACACAGGAAGGCTTTCCAAAATGTCATTTTAAGAAGCTTTGTTTATATGGAGAGATCATTAAAAAAAATTGGATGTTTCAGTCTCCTTAAGTGTGATCCATAATCTTCAGGCTTCTTGTGTTTTTCTTTCTTCTCTGAAATTTTCATTCATTATTCTGGCACTTTTAAGTGACTACTGATGGCATAATTGGAGTATCATGGAAGCAGAAGGCTGTGTTATTAGTCAGCATGACACCACATACGCATCCAGTTAATGGAAAATAAGCAGTTCAAGCAGGTAAGTAACAATTGAGACTGTATTTTTGAACCTGAATTGTGCCTAGAAGTGAAAACTTAATTTTTCAATACTTCTACTAAGGCATAGTTTGTTTACACAGTTTATCTTTGAGTATGCTTGTAGTTATATCATTGCTTTTATATATTTTAGCACTGATTTTCTAGAGATCACATCAGTGACTGCCAGTGTCCCTGTCCTGCCAGCCCTTGTGCAAGGGGAGCAGTGGGGATGGCAAAATGGAAATGGTCTTGGTGACACAGATATTTTTGGGCAGTCACAGCTTCCACAGCACTGAGTCACTGCAGCAGAGCAACCTCTAAGGAGTGTCCTCCTTCCACATCTGCCCCCTCTTCCTGCTCTCCCAGCAGTGTGACACAGCTCCAGAAGGGCCAGCCAGCCCATTCAGGAGTTATCTCCTACTGAGGCACTGATCTGCCAGGCTCACCCTTGCAGTGTTGCACTCCAGCATTAAACTTTTCAGGTATTTGGCAGCCTGGATGCCTTAAAAGACCTGAAGGAAAATGTAAGCTGAGTTTACAGCTGAGCTGGGAAGGAGGAAAAAGAGCACTGTTGAAGTTCCTAGGGAGGATGGAAACAGTAAATGGGAGATAAAAGGAAAAGATGAAGCAGGGCTTCTAGTCTAATTGTGCCTTCGACTGCTCCAGGGCCACCTTGGGGACCAGCCTGCTGTGCCATGAGTGTTTTATTCAGCCAGCCCACCAAGACATCCAGTGGCATGGCACTTTCCCAGGCTGTGACACCCAGTGGCATGGCACCTTCCCAGACTGTGACACCCAGTGGCATGGCACTTTCCCAGGCTGTGACACCCAGTGGCATGGCACCTTCCCAGGCTGTGACACCCAGTGGCATGGCACCTTCCCAGGCTGTGACATCCAGTGGCATGGCACCTTCCCAGGCTGTGACACCCAGTGGCATGGCACCTTCCCAGGCTGTGACACCCAGTGGCATGGCACCTTCCCAGGCTGTGACACCCAGTGGCATGGCACCCTCCCAGGCTGTGACACCCAGTGGCAAGGCACCTTCCCAGGCTGTGACACCCAGTGGCATGGCACTTTCCCAGGCTGTGACATCCAGTGGCATGGCACTTTCCCAGGCTGTGACATCCAGTGGCATGGCACTTTCCCAGGCTGTGACACCCAGTGGCATGGCACCCTCCCAGGCTGTGACATCCAGTGGCATGGCACCTTCCCAGGCTGTGAGAGCTCAGAGCCCAGCAGGCAGGCCAGCCCCAACTTCCAGATCCTTTGCCCAGCTTCCACCTTTGGCCCCTGTACAAAGATGCCAATGCTGGAACGTCTCTGTGTGGAGGGATAAATGTTCCTTCCCAGGGTGTGGCAGATGTGACTGCAACAAAGCACCTGGATTTGTCCTGGCTTGTGAATGTGTAGAGAACTCATTTTCTACAGACTCACACACCTGTACAAACTGTGTGAATGTACAAACTGTGCATGTGCACAAAACCTCTGAATCAAGCTGCAAGGCCAGTGTCTGCTGGAAAATTTAGCTGCATATATTGATTAATACCCAAAGGACAGAATAAAACCATCTCCTGCTGATTTAGGCCTCTTTATTATTTTAAGGAACAACTAGATCATTGTGATGAAACTGGCTTTTAACAAAGTGGTGCTTGATTTTATTCCATGGTAAGCAAGGACCCGTTGCCAGGTTTTCAGATAGTAAAACATTCCTTGGTTTATTTTCTCAGAAAAAGAAACTCCAAACCTCAGCTTTAATGCCTGAAACCACCCTAGTAATTATCCTTTTTTTTATCTGTGTATTATTCCAGTTCTATAAAAAAGCTGAAAATAGTACATTATAATATTAGGATTTGGGCAGAAGAGCATCAAAGGCAGTATCTTCAGCTCTAGTGAATTACTTAAAGAGCAGAACTCTTTGAGCATCTCAAGCTGCTCATCCCTTTTAACCTGGGAATAACATTCAGAGGGCCATGTCATGATACTGGAAATCACTTGATTTTCTTCAGGTGTCAAGCAAACAGAAGGACACAATGCTTTTCTGAGCATTGATGGTCTTCAGAATAAAGGTCAACTGAAAGGCCAGTGCCTTAAGACTGCCTGTGTATCTGTGCCAGCAGTTACAAAGACCAACACTATGAATCCAGTGTGTTTAATTCAAATGAGTCAAGTCTGGCAATTGAGACCTTTGAGGGGAAGAGGTGACAGAGCCCCATCTTCAGCTTGGATCCTCTTTACCTGTGCAAGATCCCACAGCAAGAGGAGTTTGGACATGCAGTGCTGAGGCACCACATCCACAGAGCCTCTCTTAGCTCTTATTTGGGTCAGATTTTTACAGAAATCACTGGTAATTGCCTCTGAGCAAGGACACAGGAAAAAAGGGAATGCCAAATCTTTCCATTCCATAATGCTTTGTAAAGAACATGATCCTCCTTTGGTTTAGATTTCTCTGCCCAGTTATGATCTGAGAAATGCACTCAGAAAAAATACATTTTCTGCCTTTGTGGACTACCTAGAAGTTGCTTTATAGAAGCAGAATGCCCATATAGATAATTTAGATATTTAGACTCTCCTGGTTTATATTTTACAGATTCCTGAAAAGTAATGAAGTTGCCTTTTCTTCCTCCCTTCACCCCAGGAGTGCACATGCTCCAGAGCAGGAGCTTCTATTTTGGAAAAATGGGCAATTTTGTTGTCAGGACTATTCATATAGAAATGTCATTTCAGTGCTTGGTAAAACAATTCCATTTCCTCATCTGTAGTTCTACTTTGTTCCAGCTAGGAATCTGCTCATTTTCATTTCAGTCCACTGTAAAAAGGCACAGAAAGCTCCAAAGGCCCATCCACTATCAGAGAGCTCTGATCTCTCTCAAATTTATCAGGAGCTGTTTGCAATCCCAGCCAGGGCTGTTACAGTGCTATTGATGGGAGATGTAGGATCTCCTCTCCAGCACTGAAGTTCTTGTTTTTGTAACCAAAGTCCATGTTAGGGCCTTCAAACAAAGTATCCCATGTGACAGTCATTTGCTCATTTGCCATCATTCTTTCCTCACTTGACTCTTTCAAAGCCAGAAAGATGATGTATGGTGTCTCTAGAGCAGGAAAAGTGCAGCTAGGAATGTTAGCATAGATGTAGTTCCTACTCACAGGCAGCTGCTGCTCAGCCTTCTAGATAATGCTCCTCCACAGGGGTTGGTTTTATGAAAGGAAGTTGTCTTTTCACTCAACAAGAAACTTGTCCATAGTCTTTAAATGCCCAGCTTTACAGTAAAAGCAAAATATTTCTGAAGACAGCTGTTTCATTATCCTCTTTAAAAAATGTGAATTAAGAGATTTAAAATATTTCTCCTGAGTGTTTTGACTGTAACTCTTACAAGTACTGTAATTTACCAGTAGCACACATCAGGAAAACATGTAGCTCATCCAAAGCCTTCCAGACAGCCATTGCTATCAATAACCAGGCAGGAGTGCTCTGATGAGTGGGACCAACACTTACAGCTTTTAAGCCCTACAGACTTTGCAGCAGTAGGTAATTGTCATTATTACCCCAGAGTGAGGAAAGAGGGATGAAGTGATTCACCCAAAGAGCACAATGAGTCAATAGGGGAGCTGGGAATAGAGTGCAGAATTCCCTACATTATCCATTGGAGGCCTCAGATAATATCATTTTATAAATGCTCTATCTTTGTAAAGACTTCAGTGCTATAATTATCCTCCCAGGACTCTCATGGAAACAAGATATTTATAACTCCATTAAGCCTTTCCTGGTAATTTTATGATCAAAGTGAAAAACCCAAATAATGCCGTGCCAATCAGTCGCATGTCCAATGTCATCCAGAATGGCCACATGATGAAAGCCTCTCCTTGGCTGTTGCAATTAAGTGCTTGCTATCTTTTGCCTGCCTTTCCTGTGTCCAATTCCCCTTCTACCACATGGTGGACAGGGAGTATTTTTTGCAGTCTGATGACCCATGCATTTAGAATGTACCAAATAATTGGGAAAGATGCTTGTTGCCAACAAAGCCTACTGGTTTGGGCTATAAATGCTCCTAAAATCCTTTCGTGTGTGCCAGGTTCACCTAAAATGAGCAAAGCCACCTCAGTATTTCCACTAACCTTTGTATGTCCTTAAAATTGCAATGCAGATGCCAAGACTAACTGTAAACAACAGGTTAGGGACTGAGGCTTTTGGACCCTGGTTCAGCAAAGCACTTAAGCCTGTGCTTAAATCAAAATCCATTCTTATTCCCCAGATCCATTTTAAGTGTTTGTTTAAGGCAAAACACATGCTTAAGTTGAGTTTTGCTTGGCACAGTGCCTAAGCCCAGCACAGAGCAAGGGTTGTAAAATTAATTTCTTTTTGAGGGGAAGTAATTATTTTTAGCCCACCTCTCAATGTCCACAGCCCTATCTTTTAGTCCCCAGACAGTTATTTTGAGGAGGTGTATGTGCTAAGTCTAAACTTCTGGATTCTGTGACAATCAATGGCACAGAAAAGAGAAAGACCACTTGAAATACTTGGTTTGAGAGGGGCCTTTGGGGAGGCTCATTAGAGGGAAGACATGAAAGAAGTTGTGATTATTCTGGGAGGTGGCTGCTGATATTGTGGGTGATCTTTTCACTGCGCTGACTGGAGAAGCAGTGAAGCATTCACTTACAAGAGGTCAACAATTTTAATTCAAAATGTTTTTAGGAGTTTTATATTTCCACAGGAAATTCATTATTTCAGGGAAAATGTTTATCCTCTCTTCAAAAGTATATAAAAAGTTGTCTGGAATGTGTTAGTTTCCTTTTTTTTTTTTTTTCCCTGAAACACTTCTCTGATATACAATTATTAAAGGAAAACTCATGTAACAGAGTTTTATTTCTCATTCTTTGTAACACTAAATTTCCTGTCTCATTACAACAACTCTTACCATTGTTTCAATGACTTTGACACTGGAATTTATCAGGTAGATCTGGCCTTTGCCACGTCTAGAGGAGGAACAGTTACAATTTCTGTGATGTTTTTTGTGGGATGCTCCACTAGTTTCCCTTTAACACCAGACTTCATAAGAAGGTAGAAATAAAAAAGGTAGCTTGAAATACATTTTATTTCTCTGTGGGCTTAAAAATCTTTGGCTTCTTACAGTCTTGTGGTAATGGCATGAATAAAACCTTACTCTGATTCCTGCTATGTCCTGATATGTAGGACAGCTTTCTAACAGCAGGGAGAGTCAAGTAAGAGGACAGATCCCCCATGGAAATTTGGCACTGCTGTATTTAAAAGCCAATTGGACAAGCACTTGAAGAGGAATAATTTAGCTGCTCTTAATCCACTCCTGCACAGGGTATCACAGTGACCTTTTAATGCCCATTTAACCCTGTCTCATGGGAAAGTGTTCTCCTCCCCCAGAGCTTCTGGATTATTTCCAGGCAGAAGACCCCTTTTAGCTCTATCACTTGACCACCACATTGCTTTACTAATCCACCTCCCTTGTTTTTTTCCACCTTGGAAAATACAGCGAGTGCCTGGAGCTGTCATCCACAACAGGGCAGAGATGGGACCCCATAGTCAGGCCCACTTTTCTTCACCTCTACCATGAACAGGTATTTCTTTCCTGCAAAAGCCTGCACTTCTAATAAAAACATGCCCTGCCTTTCAGGACTAGTATTTTCATGGCTGATTCGCAACTGATTGGGAGTTGCTAAATCCAGTAGCCCCACAGAGGTGAGGCTGCTGCAGCTCCAGCCCCCTGGATCCAGCAGACACATCCACAGATGTGTAAAATGTGTGTATGCACTGATGGTTCCAGTGGCCAGCTCAGACAGAAACACTCAGCACTCAGACAAACAGCACCAGTGGCCTCATCCTGCTCTGGCAGATCAGGGTGAGGGTCTGTGAATGCACTATATTTATAAAAGTCATCACAGAATCATAGAATGGTTTGAGTTGGAAGGGACCTTAAAGATCACCCAGTTCCAATCCCTTACCATGGGCAGGGACACCTTCCTCTAGACCAGGTTGCTCCAAGGCCCATCCATCCTGGCCTTACAAATATTATGGTCATTTCCAAATTTTAAAATTAAAACATGCACTTCCAGATAATACCATGCATGAAGTCCAAGGGAATGGCCTTCATTTATGGAAGAAACACTGGAACAGCAATTAAGATTGGAACTCATACACAGTTAACCATTATGGGCTAAAATAAAAGTTGGATGAATCATTTTCCAGTCATATAAATCACTGAAGTTGTTCTATCCATCACGAAGGTAAGCCAACCATGTAATGAATTATACAATGTGTTATTTTCCTATGCATGTTATTCCCATAGTTTGTTCTGTTGTTCAAAGTCTGTATGAGGGGTTTTTTTTGCAAATACTTTTAAAATGATGAATAATCTTTACTTATAAGACTAAAAATACATGCCAGCTATTGTATATTAAATTTGACAGCAGTTAAAGTGTTGGTATCTGAACTTACTTGACTGTGTCTTCAAAAAACTTTTACTAGGTGTTCCTTACGTAATTAGATATTCTTAGATTTGTGCAATTTGTTCTATAACCCATGGAAGGGAAAGTAAAAGTGTTCTAGATAATAACAGACAACCAGTCTCATGAGCAGGAACAGCTTTCCTTGCAATCACTTTTTATTGGGAGCTAAACATGGTCAAACTTCCATTGCAAATTCATGCAAGGACCAATTCTGAATCCTGTGGAGCAAAATAAAGCTCAGCAGAAATTTCAGGTGTTCCAGTGGAACAAGATCCCAAAGGCTTGCAATTTTTCCATTACAAGTGCATTTTATTTGCAAGGAGTTGGCACTGGTTGTAGGCAGAGAAGGCCAGACCTTCACCTGCCCACACAGGCAGTGACACGCAAGTCCCCACAGTTTATGAGGATGTGGAGCTGATCCAGAGGTCTCTGCTCAGACTGTCCTGGATTTTGTGCACACCAGCACCAAGGAGCTGTTTGTTGTTACCAATGTGATTTCTTAGCATGAGGCACCACTTTGGCCTTGGTTTGAAATGCCCTGCAGGCAGCAGTGACCTGGCCCAAGGGAGCTGCTTCTCCACTGGTTCTGGCACAGCTTCCACGCAGGATTTCCAGACACTGAAGCTTTTTGTCCTGAATGTTTGGTTTGTGAGTTTAGTATATCAGATTTGCAAAGTCAGTGAGTAACTGGCCCACAAATTATGAATGCAGCAGGAGAGCTTGGATTGAAGCACTGGGAGGTGGGCAGCCAGGAGGAGCACAGGTATGAATGCACTGGTTTGGCACAGCACAATGTACAGCACTGAAAGCTGAAATCAAGAACTGCAGACAGAGAAGCTGTCTGAAGATGTGGGATTAGGAAGCAGCTCAGTGGCCCATCCATCCAGCGTGGGCTGGCAAAGAAAGGTCAGTGCTGCACAGTTTTCATTCCCGGCATTTATACCGGACCTGTAATGGTGCCATGGGTTGCTGAGTCCCCACCAAGTGTAAAGGGCTCTGAAGAAAGAAGAAATTCAGAAAAAACATGTAAATTAGTTTAGTTAATAGAATTACCATTGTGCTTTAACATTAAGATACAAGCATTCTTGCATCTTCAGTCTTAGAGAACCAAAACCAAATACCAATAATTATTTCTAGGCTTTGCCAAAGCCTTTGAGTAGGGCCTTCATGGTTAATTATTATTCCAGTCACTCTGTTAGGGAGATACATGAGCCCTTAAGAAACTCTTGCAGTTTTGAATACTTTCAAAGTATTCAAATAATTAGGTGGCAACTGTGCCATTCTATCTTCTGTTGCTCATTCAATCTTACCCTCATCTTTTACCTTCCACTCCTGAATATGGAGTGGAAGACCACTACAAGTGTAACATCTGATTCCATATCTTTAAAGTATTAATGATCTCGTTCCATGTTTACTGTTTTTGTGAGCAACCAGTATCAAATCTCTGCTAGTGTTTAGGCAATGATGAGACAAAACATTCTTGTAAGCACTTTGTTGTAAAGGCAGTGCAGCCCCAGTAACCAGAATTGATGGAATTACCTGGATTTTCTGAGTTAAAACGATCGAGTTGTTCATTACATGTTTTATAGTAACCACAGTTGATCATGGTTGTTCAGCTGAGCCTGATGAATGAAAGGTATAAAGATGGAGAATGCTACACAAATGCCTGAACCTCTTACCTCCTTTGGCACTGCATCCAACAGCACAAATTCGTACTTGTACAGGAACAGCACAACGAACAGCTGGATTTCCATGATTGCAAACCACCTGCACAAAAAGGGAGGAAAGCATTGGCCCTCCAGACTGACCATCACATGTGTGTTATGAGCAAGTAAGAAACAGGGTGTCATTGACGCATTTTACACTCTGTGCTTTTGTTCTGCCTGAAAGTTTATCTTCCATAGGAAAACTGCTGTAGTTCGGGTCTGTTACTCGGCAAGGAACAGGAATGTGGCAGCTGCCCGTTTTTACTGTGGTGGAACACTGGACTGACAGTATCCCTTCTGACACCTATTTTAAACCAGCTCCTTATCATTATGGATTTTTCCACTGTATAAACATTTATGTTCTCCTAACACTTGCTGACTTGAAATAACTTCCTAGGAGTGAGAAGGCAGTCAGACAGAAAAGGCCATATGACTAATTGTGCTATATAAAGTTATATAATGCAGCTGGGAGCCTGGTGACATCAGAGAGCGGTGACAGTGGGAGTTATTATTTAATGCATCAGCATTAGGATGCGGTAGGAGACCCAAGGGCATGATTTCTTTTTTCTGTAACTCTCTCCCAAAGGCCTTTCTTAGGCCAGAGAAGATTTGGGATAACTGCAGGTGAAATCCTCCAGGTTTTTAATGCTTATGTGTACAAGAGCTTTCTGCATTCACCAGTGTGCACCTATGCAACGTCATGGGATTAGTCACTTGCAGAGTTTGGACATAAGTCTTAAATACCCAGTTAAAATAGTGATACCACCTTGCTCTTCTACAGAAGAATGCAGGGAAACCTGGATAAAGTAGCTATGGGGAATTCACAGCAGAAGAGGCTGCATGACTGCACATGTAGCAGTCATGTAGCAGTGGCCTGGCAGATGTGAAGGGAAGATAAAAAGCCTCCCAGACCCAAGGTAACTCCTGCAGACCCACCAGGCTCTGCATGTGGAGCCACCCTGAGCTCTGGAGTGGGAAGATCCTTGTTTGTTTCAGCACAGCTTCAGACCCAAATTATTCCTCTGATTTCACACTGGATTTGCCTTGAGCTTTTGCTGGCCTTGGCCCAGGGGAATGGAGTGCAGAGATATTTTGATGGCCATTAGCCCAGCTCAGGTGGGATGTAGCCCAAGCTCCAAGCCTGCAGCACCATGCAAGGCTGAGTCCTTCCAGTCCCAGCTCTGTTTGCACAGCAGGGCTCTGGACCCCAGTGCTTGAGGGGACAACACACCCATGCAAGACAAGCACAGTCACACAGGCAACAGTCACCTGGTTCAACCAAAGTACTCAAACTGACATCAAATTTTTCTTTTAGGTAAAAAATATGGCACAGAAATGGCTTTTTGGGAGCTATTTCCACATTGGTTTGGTAGACTATTGGACAGTTATTTACTAGCTTTCAGTTTGATTAAATTAGTTTTTAATTTTATGCTGAACTTTTGCAGTAGAGAAGTTAAGTGTTTCATACATTTCATTTATAAGCCTCAGTACTGAAATAAATAAAAATGCATCTTAAACTTGAAATATCATTGTTTCATTCAATCATATGGAGGGAATCTGCAACCTGGAATCCTTGATACAACCTTTGATTTAATTTTCTTTTTATCAAGACCATCACATTATTCTTTTACAATTATCACTGAAAAACCTGAAGGTGTTTGTTACTACGTGGACTGCCAAAGGGTCTGAAAGGGCGTTTTTGTTTCTCAGCAAGAACAAGATTCTCCATCTGTTGTCTGTGTAGAAATGTTGTACTTTTCTCTCTGAACAAAAACTTATTTTAAAGGTGTTATCAGTATCCAGAGAACAACCTGGACAAAGATATAGGTCAGGATATATAAACAAGCAGCTTTCAGAAACACTGTTTTGCAGCTTTCTCTGTACCTGCAGACACCTTTTGTGAATTTTGCTGTTGCCCTAGCTGGGAGTGAGGCGGTGCTCAGATTTAGCTCAGGAATGTGGCACAAAGCACCGAGGTACAGCAGTGAGTGAGCACTTCCCCCTGGCAAGCCTAAATGGTGAAAGCAGTTTTACTCATTTTGCTCATGTCTTTAATGCCTTCACAAAGTTTACCTGGCACTCATGTCTAGCCTGTCATAGGATGCAGATCCTCTGAAACACCCTCCAGATTCCTTGCTCCACATGGAACTCGAGGTAAAATGACTGGTCTTAAAGATTGTAAGGAGACTTTTGTCTCAGAGGAGCTCAGGTTTTGAAGGCAGAGGATTGAGCACAGAGATGTTTGAACACAGGAACAAGGAGCAGCTGGCTCCCTGGGACTTGTTCCAGGAAGAGGGACAGCAGAGAAAACAGCAGAAGGAATGCAGGAAGTACCAAGGCTGGCATTGCTGGAGGAGTGAAGTGAGAGGATCTGCAATTTAAGCCATTATACAATATTGTGTGCTCTAATGCAAAGACCAGATTC